TAAAAATCGGGTGTTGGGTGTCGGGTGTTGGTACCCAGTACACAGTACTCGGTGAAATGTGTACAGAGCAATGTAACATGATACAGTCTGTACAGACATAAAAATGTAACATGAAACATAGGAGTGCCGTGTACCGGGTGTCGGGTGTCGGGTGTCGGGTGTCGGATGTCGGTACTCGGTACACGGTACACGGTACTCGGTGAAATGTGTACAGACAAAAATGTTATATTATACACTCTATCATGTAACATTTTTCTGTACACATTTCACCGAGTACCGTGTACCAAGTACCGACACCCGACACCCGACACCCGACACCCGGTACACGGCACTCCTATGTTTCATGTTATATTTTTATCTCTGTACAGACTGTATCATGTTACATGTTTATGTCTGTAGACACTCTGTGTATCATGTTATAGTTTTATGTCTGTAAGCACTGTGTATCACGTTACATTTCTGTCTGTACACATGTCACCGAGTACTGAGTACTGGGTCTCGGGTCTCGGGCGTCGGGCGTCGGGCGTCGGGCGTCGGGCGTCGGGTCTCAGTACTCGACATGACACAAAACTCGAAACTCCAATCTTAACAGAAATACAAATCTCAGAGCAAAATGTGTATCATATACGAGTTTCGAGTGTTGAGATTCGAGATTCGAGATGTTTGTTTCGTGTCGAGTATCGACACCCGAGACCCGAGACCCGGTGCTCGGTACTCGGTACTCGGTACTCGGTGAAATGTGTACAGACAAAAATGTAACATGATACACAGAGTGTGTACAGACATAAATTGTCACATTATATAGTGTGTCTCATCTGATATTTGTCTGTACACATTTCACCGAGTACCGAGTACCGAGTACCGAGCACCGGGTCTCGTGTCTCGGGTCTCGGTACTTGGTGAATGTCAGATATGGCTTATTCAGGCTTTCTTGTATCTATCTACTCGACCAAGATGTTTCAATTCATGAGCACTGTGGCGAAACGTGACTGTATCACTCGTCACTGAGTCTGAGTCAAAATGAGGCAGCTCTCTGGTTCTCGTTCAGTGCTTTTGTGGATATAGTATACCAATACCTAGGCCTATCTGTCTATATGATTCATATCTGGGCCCACCTGTCTGTCTAATATTAACCCACGTCGGCCCACCCTTCTATATAATAAATATTTCACCTCGCCCTCGGCCCACCTGTCTATCTAATATACCCCTTCTTCCTTCAATGCACTCAACTGGTCGCATTCATTTGTTGCATCTTGTAGTGTGGTGACTCTCTTGCTCAGGGTGGTAGCTTCTGTTTTCGCCCCGACCAGTTGCTCCAGTGTTTGGATGAGGTATTTATCAAATTTCTCTTTGTTCTCCATCTCGGAATTTCTGGTGGGCTGTTATGGGGGGGAAAAACGACACCCGAACTTGTTAGCAGGTCGCGACTCGCGAACATGGCCCACCCGTCTATCTAATATTTCCCTATGTCGGCCCACCCATCTATCTCATAAATAATTCACCTCACCCTCGGCCCACCCGTCTATCTAATATTAACCCATATCGGCCCATCCGTCTATATAATAAATATTTCACCCCACCCTCGGCCCACCCGTCTATGTAATACATAATTCGCCTCACCCTCGGCCCACCCGTCTACCTAGTAATACCCCACGTCGGCCCACCCATCAAACCAAAACACCTGACATCGGCCCACCCGTCTATCTAATATTTCCCTACTTCGGCCCACCCGTCTACCTAGTAATACCCCACGTCGGCCCACCCATCAAATTAAAATACCTGACATCGGCCCACCCGTCTATCTAATATTTCCCTACGTCGGCCCACCCGTCTATGTAATAAATATTCCACTGCTCCCTCGGCCCATCCGTCTACAAAATAATACTAATACGTCGGCCCACCCATTTATATAATAATATTTGCTATACATCTCTCCTCAGGTCTATAATATATGTCAATCCTACTCTACATATTACCCACATGGGCCCACCCATCTCCATAATAATATTTTTCCCGGCCCATCCACCATTGTCAATGATATATATAACATCAGCATACATGGGCCCACCCGTCTCCATCGGAAATAATATTCCTCCCGGCCCACCCATCAGCATCGGGAATATACATATCATCGGCCCATGATCCGCTGGCCCGTATTACACGGGATATTATGTAGGTCGGGTGACCCGTATAGTACGGGATTTGTCACTGAAGGGGCTCAAAGATGTTCTATTAGAAGCGTACGAAATCGAATCAGCCAAGACGAGCGCAATGAATAAAGGCCTAGACTTACTGCGACAATAGCCCAAGCCACAGCCCCAGGTGTTACTGCCGTGACGCCCCACTTAACTGCATTGGGCGGAGCACCACCCTGTCGTCTACCCTCATTGGAGAGTGATGTTCTGCCCTTCAGGCAGCAGCTCAGCGTCTATTGATACAATGTATATTAGATTCAGATGTTAAATTTAAATGTGAATGAAATGAATGACGGCGCACCTTAGCAATGAGTTGCCAGTTGCCAAACAGGGTTTTGCGACTGGGGTCAACAGTATTCCCTGGAAACAACATAGGTGGCAGAGTCGGATATAATTCGCCGGGATTGCCAGTGGTGCCAAGTAGTCGGCGAATCTCAGGCTCTGTGTCGCGAGCAAATGAGATGGCGAAGTAACGCTGAGGAAGCTCGAAAATCTGACCAGCGACACTCCTGAGCTTGTTAAGCTCGGAGGCACGGCCAGCACAGACTGCCTTGGAGAACTGTAGATAGTGTCAATGGTACTGAGTAAGACGTTGCATGATAAATGTATTACCATGTTCGAAAACCGATTCATCGGCACCAGGTAATGCAGGTGTTGGGGGAGCGTGTCGTACAATTCTGCCAGAACTGCAATCTCCTGTGAACCTGTAGTAGCATACCGAGCAGCCGTATTGAATGACGGTGCAGGGTCGGGAAGTGTCATTTTGAGCAGGGCTGCCAGCGGAGGGAACATATTGACCATGAGCCCGTATCATTTTGCGCAGACCTTGAGTTCCGCTTCGAAGGCCAGAATGTCGTCAGCAACCGCATCATCCTTCTTGCGACGACCCTTATTGGTCGATAGTATCTTGTTCTGTTCCTCCACAACGCGGAGTCTTTCCTTCAGTGCCTGGTTCTCAAGCTGCGCATTCTTGACCCCCTGCAGACATCAATAATGCCTCGGTGAGTGATACAAAAGCGAATCATGTACTTACTTCTGCTTCGTGTCTAGAATGGTGCGGTTTTCGTTCAGCCGCACTGGTAGCCTGTCGTTGAACAGGATTTGAGATCGACCCTTGGATAGCACTATGCGTAGGTCCAGGCCTCTCATCAGACGATGATTCACCTGGACCAGATGACGAAGATTCGTCAACAGCATAACGAATTTGAGACATGGTAACAAGTCTAAGGTGAGTCAACGAAATCAATGACAATTAACGTCGAAGTGGTGCTATACCAACAGCGCAACACCTACAATTTATATGTAGTTGGATGAGCCGGAACATGTCGGACCAGTGCATACGGGGCGTGGTATTGGGGCACGGAGGACAGGTTATGTGATTAATGGTGTATTCGGAACCTTGATAAGCCTCTGAATGACATCAAATGAGTGGCTGTAGACTCGGATCATGAGAATGGACTCATACTTACGGTTAAGTTAAAACGAGGATGCTGCAATATTACTCTCATCCATTGAAAGCAGCACTGTCGGTGCAAGTGCGGTTGATTCAGGCGGAGGAATGATTCAATGTGCAATGTGAAGTGTGCTGGTCTTGGCACGGATACTAGGGCGTTATGACAAAACATGAGTGCCGCAGCATTGACACGGGCTGAATCAGCCTCCGAACATACCATACGTAAGAACTGACCGCCGCAATGAGCTGCAGTTGATGTCAAGAGACGATGAGTGCGTTGGGGCAGACCCATCTGTTATGGGTTTGTTGGACATGTTAATATCGAATTTAGCCAACGAAATTGATCAGTAGTTCCGACTTAAACATCCTGACTCTTACAGTTTGAGATTCCCTGCCAGACAATGGAAGCTCGCAGGAAGAGTACATAATAAGGGCCCCATTGAGGATGCAGCGTGGCGTGAATGACGTTGGATCTGTCGCTTGTTGGATCGCCAGAGAGATACCAAGCTTGCTGGAGGTATGTGCCCAAGGTCTGTATGCCAGCATCTTTAGTAAAGAATGCACGTGTATTGTTCGGATATCTCCTGGACCTGCAAAGAAAATGAGCATTCCTACCCAAATACTGATAAAAGTGCGACGCACAGATTGGGTGCCTGGATGATTAATTGGAGGACATTGACGGCTGCCAGAACCTGAGCAGTCTGCTTGGTCTGTTTTCCGTCAATGATTCAGAATGCTATGATTTGACATTAGTAAGTGGAAAATTTGGGGGTGGGGGGGGGGGGGGAGGGGGGGCTCGCTCAAGTACATACCTGAAGTCAATTGGATCTGCGGCGGCCTTCTTCAGGGATACTTGGAGGACTCCGCTGATTAGGACAGACCCATCCACTTGGGGTTTGTCCGACATTGATAGCAGTCAGGACCTGAGCAGTCTGTTTGGTCTGTTTTCCATCAATGAACGCTTGCAAACCAGGGAAACTTGCTCGATAGAAATACATACCTGAAGTCAATTGGATCTGCGGCGGCCTTCTTCAGGGATACCTGGAGGACTCCGCTGATTAGGACAGACCCATCCACTTGGGGTTTGTCCGACATTGATAGCAGTCAGGACCTGAGCAGTCTGTTTGGTCTGTTTTCCATCAATGAACGCTTGCAAACCAGGGAAACTTGCTCGATAGAAATACATACCTGAAGTCAATTGGATCTGCGGCGGCCTTCTTCAGGGATACCTGGAGGACTCCGCTGATTATGACAGACCCATCCACTTGGGGTTTGTCCGACATTGATAGCAGTCAGAACATGAGCAGTCTTGTCCGACATTGATAGCAGTCAGGACCTGAGCAGTCTGTTTGGTCTGTTTTCCATCAATGAACGCTTGCAAACCAGGGAAACTCGCTCGATAGAAATACATACCTAAAGTCAATTGAATGAATGAAGATGCGCGTCGTCAATGCCCGAGATCCTTGGCCAACCGGAAAGTCCACCAGGCATGATTCCAGGTGTAACCAGATCATCGCCGTTGTCATTATCAGAGTAAATAGAGCTTGAACTCGTGCTGAATGCCGAATTTCGCGTGGGCATCAACTTGTTGTCGCTGAGAACGACACAAGAGTCGCATGACTTGTACTTTGAGGGTCCATGACATTGGGGCAGCGGAGAAACCAGCCAAGTCTGGATAGCACGCACAGATCCTGGGCAGCGGCGACTGAGGAATTAGTCCGCGTGCATGGGCACTCACAGGTGAGCATATTGCAAGACAGGTGGAAAGTGATACCAGATGAAGGGTCGGGTTTCGGAGCAGAGATATTAAGAGGGGTGCATGTGGTTGATGGGATGGGACGTCGCAATAGTGTCGAGAAGTCGCCACTCAGAGTCTCAGACGACACCCTGAGCTTTGGAGGAGTTTGATAATGGGCTGCGCGACAGCCTGGGGATATTGGCGAGACGCTCTGGTCGCGTGCTCTGATTCTGGAAATTTGTACAGAACCTATGTACTGCGGGACAGATGTCGAGACGAGCACTGTCATCGTCACCGGTCCAGGTACGGAACTGTTTTCGTCGTCGTCTTCGTTGTTGCTGTCGTGGTCATCACTGTGGTCAATGTTAGGGAGGAACAAAGGTTGTAATAGCAGAATCCAGACTCGGAGGGTCCAGAGAGGGAGGAAAAGAAAACGGACATTGCATGATGCAGCTAGTGATAAGTATTAGTACATGTCCCTACTATGAAAAACAAAATAACAAAGGAACATTGGTCATGAAGCCGCGATGATAGTTAGTACTAGTCTAAGTGCCTGGCTGCAAGGCGCATTTTCTTCATGCGCAGAAATATGTCGCTGTCTACTGTGTCCATAATGAGAAAATCTCCAGCTATAGTGGGATCAGGAGCAAGAGCGACTCCTCTGATGATTGATTCTGCTAGTATGAACTCACTAGCAGTTTCTCTTGGTTGCGATCTAACGAGCCAAAACTTCAGGTGTTTGTCCTTCTGGAGACGCCTCCCAATTGGTGTGTCGTATGGACATACAAGGGCGATGGGATAGGATGCGACATTAACGTTACATGTAAAGAGGAATAGGAGCCGTGCAAAAAAAACACCGGTTGCGGTGTTGACGATGACGCAGTCATATCGGGGAACATTGTGGAATCTCGGGCTGCAACGGAGATAGTCCGTGGTCTGGCGGAAGTCAACTAGTGACTCGTAGTTAACCTTGAGGAATCGAAACTCTGTTATCTGCTCAGTATTAGTCATGTGCAAGCACCCGATAATCAATTGTTAGACTTACTTCGTCAGAAGGTAACATGTTCACCTGCTGTAAGACAGCGGGCAAAGCATTTAAAAATACATTAAGCTTGGTGCGAAACCGCCTGAAGGAAGGGTTGTCAATATGTCGTTCCTCGATTGCCTCAAGAGACTGTTTCGGCTGCCTCGATCCAAATCTGATATGGAAATCGGAGGTGATGTTAGTATCCGGGCCAGTCTTATCAGTCTCGTCTTCAGCCATCCGAGCATCGTGTGCAGCCAGTTCATCCACTTGACCACGGATGAACTCAGAAACGAGAGACCAATGGTCTGCGCGTAAAATCTGTATTAAATTTAAACTAGAACCAATGATATTGAAAATAGGACGACAAACCTGCGGTGCGACATCTTTGAAATTGGTTCGTTGTTGATACGACTCCTTTAGTGGACCATGACACTTCTCGTTTGGCTTCGTGTTGTAGTTGCGAGTTGCTCCCTTAGCCTTGATATCGTCGAATAAGTGGGCAGCTAGATGCATCTTCGGGAATGACCAGTTTTTGTCTGGCCGTAAAGCTTCAGACTTGCGGATATATTTCTAAGAAATCAATTTGAGAGTGAAAGCGCCATCAAGAGGTCTAATACAACTCACATTCATTAGTTCCGAAAATTTTTGAAGGGCTTCTCGTCCTCCAGCAATCGTTTCTGTGGTATGTACCTCCAATGCTGCATACAAGTCCACCTCAAGGTATGCACGGACGCATCGAAGGAGAAGGTAAGCGGTTTTACATTCATCGGTGTTCGGAAGAATATCATGAGCCGCAAACACTATCAGCTGGCTCGGCAGTACGTAGCCTTGTAAGTAGAAGTCCCTCGCACTTAGATAAAAATATCATTTACCTTGAAAATATCTTCGTACTTGCTGCCATCAGTAAATGTTATAGCCATGACAGCGTCGAAATGATTCATATTGCGCCAACGTGGCAGCGCATCAAAACTACGAGTGAGAAATGAGAACAAATTATGTTGCGAAACTTGACAAGTTTACTTCTTGTCAACTTTTGCGCTGGAGTCGCGTCCCAAAAAACCGACTAGTATTTGTAGCTCTGGCCACATGTGGTCCCCAAAGAGACCTCGGTGGACAATGTGAAGGTGGTTGTAAGATAGCGCGCGGTGCACATCAGTAGTCTTGGGATCCATCTCGTGAAATGTGTTCTAAAAGCGAGATGGTTACAATAGATCAAATTAAATCAAACACTATCATACATTAACATCGCGAATTGACTGTCCTTTGAGTATTGCCTCCCGCTGTCCTTTGCGGCGCTCTGCCCTTGCCTTAATCAAAAGGTCATTTGTTGCCCGGCACGTGCGAAGAGTGTAGTCGTGGGGCATGACAGAAGACAATTTGTCCTTGGGGATCAGACAGATTGGGCACGGAAAGTTGCTCATCACACCTCGAGTGAGCGACATTACACTCCTGGACGACCAAAAAGTTAGATAGCATATCAATAAACTTAAAAAATGAAACCTGACTGCTCCTCGTAGTCTGCGGATAGTATCAACACCAATGTATAAAAGAGTCTCGCAACATCGTCCCAGCAATTCGCCCATCGGCCATGCTTCAAAGGCGGTATGATTGATGCGAGCACTTTCTTGACGGCAGCGTGCCATACAGCAACTTTAAAGTTAGCAAATTTCTGGGTACCTTTATATTTTGGATCATCTTTGACCTATGGGGTGACGGTTAGCAAATCTGCGATGAACGGCTTTGAAACATACCAGCGGGAGCCATCCAACCACTCGTCCCCCACCCACCCCATCTCCATTTCTGATGGCGACAGGAAGGTTCGCTAGCCGAGCAATTACGGGATATCCCTTCTCGCGCCCAAACGACGATAGCTTCGACTTGTCGGCATACAGGATGAACGCCAGCGGTTTTGCTTCTGGAGGGATCCGAGACTACATAATTTTCCTACATATCAATGAGATGTCGTAGTATAACACAGAAATACGTACCTGGCATTCCCAGAATGCATCTGCGGTCCATGGTTCATCGATGAACCTAATAAACGAGTCTCCATCAAATTTCGATAGCCGCTGGGCATCGAAAACACAGTGAGGGCCAATGTCAGGGTGTCGCAAAAGATCTACTCCCCAATCCCAAAGGGAGCGAAAATAGACTGTGTATTCCATGTCGTTGCCATCAAGTGGTACTGTAATGGTATCCTTTTCAAACTGAACAAATCAGATGACTTACAACAACAAACATCGATACGACTTACCGGCGTCAAGCGATAGGATGCTGCTTCCCATGTATTCCGAACATCGGCGTAATTTTTGAGAGTGAAATCTTCGGTCCTACCACGCTGAACCAACTGGATGAGGCGCGTTGTTTGCTCATGAGTGAGTGCGGTCTCGTGCGCCAACTCCGCAACCTCAAAGTCAAGTTGGCATCTGAATGGGAGCCAGGGCTGGCGATCTGGGTGGGGCGGCTCATAGTTATGCTGTCGTGTGAAGTCAGAATATGTATCAATGCGCGTTGCGATCCTCGCGTGCGGGTGAAACTCGGTGCGTATATCATCCATACTGGCATGTTGAGGGACATTCTCAGCCTCCGAGCGATCTAAACAAGATCTCAGCATGCCGTATACTGACCGACTGATGCAACTCACCCGATAGCATGTCAATGTCGGTGTTATCATGACCGTAGTCGTTGTCATGCTCATAGCCATGGTCCTGGTTCCAGACTTGTCCTATTGCAGGCCATAGCCTTAGATTAGTTTAAAATGTCGAAGTCGAGGTAGAAAACTCACCATCGTGTACGGCCGGGGCCGGCACAGCAACTGTAAAAGTAGAGTTATATTAGCAGAATCATGTTAGTATTGATCCGCTCGCCTTGTACAGGTGCGATCGAAGCCAATAGCTCTGCGTCTTCTTCTGACTCTCTTGCTCGCCGCTCACAGGCTCTTTGGTGATGGTTGAAGCCTTTGGGCTTGAAAGTGCCTCCGCAGGTATCACAGACTCTGTCATCCGGTACATATTGGAAATGCGCAGACATGCTGCCAGTGCAATAGTGCTCTATGTGATGCTGGCAGGAGTTCGGGATGGTAGTGAGAACGAACAATGCGAAAAATGTTGTTGGATAGAGCTCACACGCGATTGCAATGCGTCAATGAGGAACGTGTCTGCTGCGTTCTGCGTCATAATAAGTCATATGTGTGTCACATTGACATAATAATACTAATGACTTACTAGTAATACATAGTCACCACACAGTACATCGACGACCTATTGTTCAATACCCTGTCGGCTTGCGAGAGCGCTGGAATGCAGTGATCGTGATCATGATCGTGGAGGTACTGGAGTTAGAAGCCAAGAACACGATCGATTAGCTGTGGCAGTGCTATATTTTACAATCTCAATTGATTACAGTGTGTTGCAAATGACTTTAGAATGCACGAGAATTTTTTTGCGAGCTCGGTGTTTGTAAAATTGTTCGTAATAGCCAAATGCGGGACTTTCTGTCACATCAACGACTCGAAAATATTGTCTCCTCCACCTCAGGGTGTATCAATTGCACTCTGACACTCGTATCTTCAATCTGAACTTAAAGGCACTCCCTCTGTCAATACTGTCAATACTAAATAATTATAATATATGGCCTTGTCCGCAACGAGTTCGTGTAACTCTGGCCATACTCGCGTGATTTCACAAGACATTGAGCTAGTTTTCTAAGAAAATTCCAACAGTCTTCCATTGTTCATATTCTGGCGCATTCTGAATTGAATTCAGGAGTGATCAGAGATGCTAAATACTAAATATTTTAATCCGTTCGCGCATCACAAAAGTTCGCGCATCGGCTCTAGTCTGAATCTACATACTTCAAGTTAGGGAAAATCACACTTTTCTGCGCGGTAACTCTCCGCTGGACTCAACACGTCAATTTTGAAAGAAAAAACCAGCGGGTCTTGTACTTTCAATATCAGACTATTTATCCGTCAAGAAATTATATTTTTATGTGGATGTGTTGTAGAGCTACAGATGTTTCAAAATGTGCAAACTCTAGTTGATCATCAGATAATCTAGCCTGGCTGGCAGTGGCGTGAAAACCGGAATGATTGACCAAGCGTGACACAAGTCACACGTCAAAACAAAGGAACAAACACAATTTTGAAAACGCGATTCTAAAGTCATTTGCAACACACTGTAACGTTGATTTGCAATCGATGGTGTTTTGCGCCTGTCCGCCTTCGGTTATTAGACCCGGTACATATTTTTACATCACGAACCACGCAGAGACACAAGCAGGTTTGAAATGCCGCGCAACTACTTACAATGTTGTGAGATCACCAAGCACGCAATCAATTCAATCTGTATTCATACGTGAGCAAGTCAATTCAATCGTGTCTGTCAGCGGTCCTTTTTTAAGTATTCTATTCAATCTCAAACCCTTAAAGCTTCACGTCGTGTATGCGTTTGCACAACATCCCCTCCTGCTCTATGCAATCCCTCCACACCCCCTCATGTCTTCTTGGACGCCGTCTTCGTTGACCGTTTGTCCGAGTGACACACGGTTGTCGATGATGGTTTGTCCAAGTGACTTCTCACGTCTTCTTGGACGACCCCCCGTCTTCATTGACAGTTTGTCCAAGTGACACCCTGTTTTCGATGACGGTTTGTCCAAGTGACTTCCTGTTTTTGTGGGAGAGCGCCCACGCTGTTCGAGTTCGCCACGGGTTGGCTTGTCGGGTCTGTCTGTACGTCTCAACTTATGACCCCACCTAGGCTGCATACGCTACCCAACCGTACGTCCCGCTCTAATGGGTTCCAGGCCTCCAAGATCAACAAGGTGAGCATCCACGAAGTTGTCCTCATTGGTGGTTCCACTCATATGCCCCGTATCCCCAAGCTCATTTCTAACTTCGCTAACGGCAAGGAGCCCAACAAGAGCACCACCCTCGAGGAGGCTGCTGCTCATGGTGCTGCGATCCTTTGCGGCAAGTGCAACACCACCGTTCCCACCAAGAAATCGGAGACTTTCTCGACGCACCTGGACAACCAGCCTGGTACCTTGATCCAGGTGTACGAGGATGAGCGCGGATGCACGAAAGACAACAACCTGCTTGGCAATTTCGAGCTGTCTAGTATTCCTCCCGCACCTCGTGGTGTTCCTCAGATCAAGGTTACCTTCGTCATCAGCGCCAACGGTATCCTGAACATCTCCGCATCATCCAAGACCTTCAGGAAGTCAAACCGCATCACGATCATTAATGACAAGGGCCGCTTGTCAACAGAGATGATCGAGCGCATGCTTAACGAGGCTGAGAAGTACAAGGGTATGTTTTTGCTTTGCTATGATCTTCGCATACATAAACTGACTTGCCTATCTTATAGCGCAGGGTGAAGCTGCTGCTGCTCGCATTCAGGCCAAGAACGGCCAAGAACCACGCGCTTACGACCTCCATAACCTTATCACCGAAGCAGCTTGCCAACAAGTCGAAGCTCGAGAACTCTGCCAATGAGATCATCTCGTGGCTAGATGCATCATGGGAAGCATCGAGGAGTACGATTCGAAACTGATGGAGTTGGAGAGTATTGTCATTTGTCGACACCATCATGCAGATGCTCTACGGTGCTGCAGGTGGTGCTCCTGGCGGTTCACCAGGGGGTTTCCCTGGCGCCAACGGGGACAGCCCTTCTGTCAAGGAGGTCGACTAAAGTGGTCGCCTTTTGTGCAGTACAGTGGGCTTGTTGCGCATTTTTCGTTATATTTCATCACATCAGACAGTATGTGTGCCGCGATCCAATTATCTCCTTACATTTGTATGTTACATTATCGCATTTCCTAGAATGAATTTCCTTTGTGTTCGATCCGTCGAACGATGCTTTATCAAGGTCACGTGCCAAGCGCTATGGCATAACATTAACTACACTGCGGGCCACTGCCAGCCAGTTAATTACATGGTGAATCTTCACTGAACCCATGGTCCAAATCCGAGGTTCTGTCACCGCAACGGTCGTCTTAATTTTCTACTTTGCATTGATGGTACTCTCTTGTGGCGCCCAAGGGTGCCTACGGACATTGCAAGATCAGCGCGCTCTGACTTTGCACCGCAAAACTTGCGCAGAATATAAGAAAATGATGGCCGCCGCCTCTCAGAAACGGAAAGATCGTGCCCGTAATGCAATAGCTGCGAAGATATTCAAAGACAAGCTATCTGGCCCTCCAGTAAGTTCTATGCCACTCGGGACTCCAGACTCGGCACTCACAGAACAATTCTTTAGCGTTTCGCCACTCCGGAAGAGAGTTCTGCAAATGATACTGAGACACAGGAGCAGGCGTTGCTTTCTGAAGATCCAACTATTGAAGAGACCACTCCCGTAGATTCTGCATTGGAGTCGCCTATGGATGTTGACCCAGATACTGGTGCCACAGATGCCACCAACGCACCAGCAGGAAGCCAGGATCTTGATGTATCGATGACGGTCGTTGGTAAGCCTGGTGATTTTATTGGTTTCTTGCACCGACCGCTTTCATGTCAGATAACTCAATTTCGGGTGAATCACACGCTCTTCCCAGTGCCATGAACGTGAACCTGGATTGTATTGGTGAGGAATTCATCCTTGCACATTTATATGCGCTAATGCATGAAATAGCTCGATCTAAACCTCGAAGACGCACCAGACTACCGAAACGATATCGAGTCGCGGAGCCCGTGGAACATGTTGTCCACCATATCGAAACCTCTACTCAGGATGCGATGCAAGATGCCCACTCGGCAACACATGATGCGCCACCAGCTAGCAACATTATCCGAAGGGTGATCCTTCTGGTCACTGAATCCCTTCGTAATGTCATTGGCGCATTCGGTCTATCTCGTGATTACCCTCAACGCCCATCTTATGAACCCGACGTCTTCATACCCTCGTGTTTACTGGCCAAAAAGTGCCCAACATTACAGCCTCCTACCTCAGTTCCTCCGCCTCCACATCCCTTTCCAAATATGACCGTTTATCGGCTGCTCAACTGGATGTCCAGTGGAAGTACTAGAAAGTCCGAGGCAGAGGTTTCACGTTTGGTCCGCGACGTGTTGCTTGCAGAGGATTTCAACACCATCGACCTGCAAGGCTTCAGTGCGAGGAAGTACCTGAGCCTCCTCGACATTACAGACCAAAATCCGCAGAACGGTGATGCACCCTCTCCAGCTGTGACATTCCCGGAAGGTTGGGTGGAGACGGATGTCACGATAACAGTCCCAGGACGGAAGGTTGATGCTTCTGGTGGCCATCCGTTTAACGTCCCAGGGTTTCACTATCGGCCGCTGGTCAGCGCCATTCGCGAAGCATTTTCAGATGCTCAAGCGAAAGCATTTCATCTATGGCCGTTTCGTCGTATTTGGACCAACCCGAATGACGGGCGCACGTATCGTGTTTACGATGAACTTTATACGTCAGATGCCTGGATACAAGCCCACGACGACCTACAGAAGCAGCCCAAGGAGCCTGATTGTACTCTTGAGCGAGTAATAGCTGGCTTGATGTTTTCCTCGGATGCAACCCAACTTACCAACTTCGGAAATGCATCAGCATGGCCGCTATACTTATTTTTTGGTAATCTGTCGAAGTATGCTCGCGCAAAACCCGGCTCTGGGGCATGTCATTTAATCGGATTCTTGCCATCTGTAAGTGTCCTTTGCGCGCATTGCTCAAATCGATTTCACATCTAGGTGTAGCTTCCAGGTCGAATCAAAGACACTTTCCGAAATCTCGGGGTCTTCACGAAAAGCGGGATTGCCGCTCTATACACACACTGCCGGAGGGAGCTCTTCCAGGGATGTTGGGATATCCTTTTGGATGACGAGTTTCTCCATGCATACTGCCATGGTATTGTGATGAGATGCCCTGATGGCATACTTCGCCGCGTGTTTCCTCGAATTTTCACGTATTCCGCCGACTATCCTGAAAAGTAGGTGAGCTCGAAGACGCGTGTTGCATGGCGCTGAAATGTGAATATCAGGGTTCTCATTGCGACCATCAAAGACATGGGGTCTTGTCTTTGTCCGCGCTGCCTGGTGACAAAATCGAAGGCCGATCGTGTTGGATTTGCGAAAGACATGCGCGCGCGAATCGAAAATTTAAGGGTCTACTGCTTGCAGAAGATACAGGCCGCTCGGGATGGTGTATACAAGTCTGGGTATGCGGTTGATGGCATTGGGGTGGAGAAAGCCCTCTCCAGTGAATCATGGGTTCCGACTATCGTGAGTATTTCGCTCGTCGTATTTACTTTGGCTGAGATATGGCATGCAGAATGTCTTTGTAAAAAAGCTCGGCAGCTTCGGACTCAACCCGTTTCGCATGCTGGTCGTTGATCTCATGCACGAGTGTGAGTTAGGGACCTGGAAGAGTCTTTTTAGTCATTTGATCCGTCTCCTATATGCGCTCCCCAACGGCGCTGAAGTTGTAATCGCACTCAACAAAAGGTAAGACCCTGTTATCCAAAACTCGCAGAAAAGCCTACCGTACCTCCAGGTTCAGACAGTGTACCCACTTTTGGCCAAGGCGTTATCCGCAGATTCTCTGATGATACATCGAGCATGAAGAGGTTGGCTGCAAGAGACTTTGAAGATATTCTACAGGTCATTATCATTTCTTTCCAGAGATTGTTACTGACGTTGTTGCAGTGTGCTATGCCCGTTTTCGAGGGACTCCTGCCAACCCCTCACGATAGGATAGTGCAGACCCTATTATTCAGGTTCGCCGAATGGCACGCTTATGCGAAATTGCGGCTACATACTGAACTGACCCTGGAGTCTATGTCACGAGCATGTACTTCTCTCACCGAGCAGCTGCGGAAGTTCCGCCGTAAGGTCTGCGATAACTATGCTACTAGTGAACTTCCGAAGGAAAAGGCTGCACGGCATCGACGCGAAGCGCTTAAAGAAAGCCGGACTACTGACGCACCCCCATCCTCTCCAAAGAAGAAATCATTCAATATGAAAACCTACAAGTTCCACGCTCTTGGAGATTATGTCGAGTCTATCAAGTTTTTCGGAACGACCGATTCTTTCACGACGCAGATAGTAGGTGCTGGTTAGTTATTAGCTCGAGCTTCTAAATTAAATATGAATTGTAGGGTGAACTTGCTCATTGGGCCATCAAGGCGCTTTACCCGTTCACCAACAAAAAGAATACTGCCAAGCAGCTTTCAAAACATGAACGACGACGACGACGACTTCAGAAGATGCAAGAGTCGGAGAAAGTGTCGTCCCTTCGCGCAGTCTGTGCTGAAACTCTTCCACCCCCGGATCCCCGCCTTCATCACCAACTATCTCACCATCGCAATTCTCCCGTGCGTATACACGAACTACTGCAGGACAACAAAAACGATCCAGCATTTGAGGTGCGTATTCTCATGAGTCTGCGTGCATTAGCTACTCAACCACTCTCACAAGAAATTCATTCCGAAGCTTAAAGACCACATATTACGTTGCTTGCAGCCTCAGGCGCAAGATGGCGTCATCAAATTCTCGGGCGATGACCGAAATGATGTTGTCGTATGCGACAATGTTCTGTTCGCCGTCAATACGCTACGGGTCAATTACACTTCATATGATCTGCAATGCCAGCAGGATTTGATCAACCCTCGCAACCACGCTGATATTATGGTGTTGTCGGGTGATTCTGAAACCCGTTCCACTCATCCATATTGGTATGCTCGAGTACTGCGCATATTCCATGTCAATGTACTCGATTTACGACCGAGTGGAGCAAACCCGCAGAAGACTCATATGGAAATATTGTTTGTCAGATGGTTCGATCCAGTGCGGCGGTACCGGTCAGGGATCAAGGCAGCTCGTCTTCCAAAAGTCGCTTTCACACCTGAGACAGACAACTCTGCTTTTGGCTTCGTGGACCCTGCATTAGTGGTTCGCGGGGTACACCTGATCCCGGCTTTTGTAGATGGACACATGCCCCGGTCTGTACCGCAGCAAAACTCGATGCGATGCACATGGAGGGAGGACGACACCTGGACCGCATACTATGTCAACATGTACGTTGTCGTCTCAATTTTTGATTCATAATCTCATTCGGCATGCAGATTTGCGGACCGTGATATGTTCGTTCGGTTTACTGGTTCTGGCATCGGACATGGACCTTGGCAAGTGGACGGTCCAAGCGATGACGAACCTGGCGAGGAAGGCGCGGATGATGATGGTGAGAGTGAGGAGGATGAGAGTGAGAGTGAGGGGGAGAACGAGGAGGAGAACGAGGAGGAGAACGAGGAGGAGAACGAGGAGGAGAACGAGGAGGAGAACGAGGGGGAGAGCGAGGAGGAGAGCGAGGAGAACGAGGAGGAGAACGAGGAGAGCGAGGAGGAGAGCGAGGAGGAGAGCGAGGAGGAGAGCGAGGAGGAGAGCGAGGAGGACGATCACACGGAGGACTCAAGTCTCAGTGACGCTAATGCCGACGAGGATGGTAATCTCTGATATATTTCAATTGGACAAACAGACTCGTTAAACGC